GAGGTCGAAACTGCAGTCCACTGGTGCCTGGATGAGAACAACATTTGGGAAAGCAAGGCTATGTGAAATTCAATAAAATGTTTACCAGCCTTACAGAGGGATATCTGATCATGATGGCTTAGTACCTTGCATTCATTTAGAAAAGGGATTCCCAAATTGGCCTTAAAGGATTGTGCAAACTAGTCCTAGGCTTACCGTCTTGCTTAGATGTATGTTCAGCGGCATTAAGGACAAAGTAAAGGCTCCAGATCAACTTTATTACTTTGTGATTCGAACTTGAAGAGAGAGCCATACAAAGTGTAGGAAATTTCCTACAACTGGCAAACTTCATTTGGGACCTCTAGAATTAGTCTTGTACGCTCACTCACTTGCCTAATCTACTTGTGAGCTGATGAATGATGAGAAATTGGTAACTGAATTGGGAGAGAAGGCTCTATGCTTCGTCAACGAACGAGTATGATCTACGAAAAGCCCGAACCACTTTTGCCCTCCCATCTCAACCACGTCGGCAGCTCAGGGCAGGACGCCAGCCCATTAGTCGATACGTCTTATCGCACGACACGAAAACTGCTTTCCTGCCTCAGGCTGCTGACAACTGCACCTAACACCGATTGCGTGTCAGCAACCAACAGCTAATTTAGGTACAGCAGCAAAAAGACTGCGAAATAGGACCAAATCTACTTTTACTTACTCTGCTATCGACCAGTACGTGATCACGAAAATGAGGTTGATACTGTTTCTCTTGGCAAAAGGGTGATCAAATACGCCATACTGACAAGGAGAGAGCATAGTTTTATGAGATCTTCTCGCACTTCTTCATCCCGAGGTATCAGAAGAGAGGATTTCGTGGTACGCGTCCTGTCCAACAAGCCACGAACGGACTAAGAGGACAAGGGGGCGCCAGCACAACATACAACCATATACACATACACACGAGCTTCCATACAGACGTAAAAACGGCCAAATAGTTGTAAGGGCATACATGAAAAATACACGAAGACAAACAAGTATGCTCTTAGAAAAATGCAGTATACAAACATTATACCAGAGGAGGACTTTCACTTTCGCGGCTAGTCGCAACGAGATTAGTGGACGCACAAACGGACAACTGCAACAAGCATAAACACAGACGGACAGGTTAAAGCAGATATGCAAACAGATTTACGGACTTACACAAGTGAAGATATATATATATATATATATATACGGAGAGAGAGCACAAGAAGGTTGATGGTGTCACGTACAAATAAGTGTTTAAAGTAAAGGCATTTGTGTAGTATCGTTCCTTCAACAGTGAGCAAACATTAGCAAACAGATATACGAGAATGCACAAGTGTGCAATAACAAAAATAGGGGCCTATGTATATATATATTTATATATAGAGAAAGAGGGGGGCACGGGGAGGCTGCTGGTGTCATGTACTAGTTCGTGTTTGAGGCAAAAGCACTTTTGGAACATGTTCCCTTCAGCATGTGACCAGAAGACACAACCGTGAGCCTGGGCTTCGCCTACAGCCTGTCCTTCATGAACTAAGCCAGTTGAAGATGCATGAATGAGCCTCGCAGATCTTTGCAAGCACATTTTTGGGCTCTAAGTATTCATTTGACGACAGGTGCAAGAGAAAGCCTAGGGCTGTACTTGGTGAAAAGGGTAACATTTTTCTTACCCTCCTTTCTGAAATATACCCGGTTTTAAAAATTCTGAATGGTCCTCTCTAGTCAACCCATTTCTGTCCACAGGCCGGCTCTTATTGACTTAGAAGTGTTGGACAGAAGGAAATGCTATATCCTAGTTGGTCTCTCAACTAGGCTGATACAGACTTTAGCAAAATAAGTGAGCAGAGGATCATGTACAGACCCAGCTCATTTGGAAAGAGAAGAGCTGTTTTGAGCTCGTTCGTCAACTTTAATTGTCCCTGAACCAGACTTTGTCAGTCGTAGCCCTTGGTTTTCAACTACAGCATTCGAATAATTGGCTTTACACCATGTCAAACTCACCGAGTGAACTGACTTCTTCTGGACAAATGAAACAAATCAACTTGTCCCCAAACACACAACGTGTAAATAAGCCTGTCAGCAACACTTTAGGTCGGCTTAGAGTGAAGCAAAGAATCGAAACTGGTTGCATGCTGTCTAACAGGATGATGACTTCTCAATTATTGTGCTGATTTCGACTTCGAATAAGAGTCTGTATTGGAAAGATTCTAAAGAAAGTACCGCTAGGTGAAGGCAGCCTTGCTGGAAGTTCTTGGTTGGGAAAGTTGGCTGTGAGGATTTCGTTTAGTGGTCTCACCTGAAACTGAATTATGGTTGCCATGACGTTAAGACTGCTGGATTGTATAAAATGTTATGGCTCACCGTCCAGCGACCCCAATAACACATTTTTAAGCTTTTGCCTTTTATACAGCATTTACGAAAAAGTACCATAAATACAATAAACTTAAAAAAGCTGGCAGCTATGACGATCAAGATGGTGTGGCTTTTTTCAGACACCGTCTCCTTTGTCTGTATAGTGTTTGTTGGATCTCATTTTCGCAACTTGGTTGGAGCGACAGCAGGACCTTATTGAATGTCCATAGTCCTTCATCCTCCGCTATAGTATTCATGATGATTTCCATCATCTGATCTTTGACTTGGTACATTTCCAGATGATTCACTGACATCGTCAGTGAGAGCATGTATTTATGTGTTAAGGATGGAGCCACTCATTGACGATGTCTAATACGATACCTGCAAAGCGTCTGGGAATGTACCCAATCAAAGGTCCGGTGCTGGAAATCATAATGAATATCATGGCAGAAGACTCAGAACTAGGAACCTTACACAAGGTTTCCCTGTGGCTCAGACCAAGTTACGGTAGCTTGGGCAATACATCACTTAAAGCAATTGGGTTTCGATGAACCTCTTATTATAACATTGAAGTTAAGACTCTCATGTCGTATTAGAGTGAATGAGAAAGAGATTATATGACTGATCCAACCGGAAGACGAGAGCAGATTCTCGTTGTTCTGCTTTCTTAATGTACGAGGCATCCTCTCTCGTTTCGGATGAAACTGTATTGTGAAGGACCAAAGTTTAGCCCATATTAAAGTCAATCGACAGCCGAAAAACAGGAATTAGCAGCCGTCTTGCAGTGAGATCAACCAAAAAATCGCTTCCTCATGCATTTTGATGTGAAATGAAAGTATCCACGTCAATAAACCTATTGCTTTTTGTCACATGTCATATAAAAACTTAGCACCGGCTCATCAAGATGTTAGAAAGATGAGCCGAGGACTTCTCTTGCACACTTTCACAATCTTTACCTCCTTCGGTTTCCGGTGCGACCAATACACGAACCTCTTCTAAACAACTGCTCCTTTGAACTGGAAAGTAGTGTCACAATTATCATATTAGGGTATTATTCTTACCACCAATTCAAGCTAACGAATAAAGGAAACCCATCTGCTTACCCCTACATGCTCTATAAACATTCTACATCTGCTAAATTTAGCGAGATACAAAGTGATTTTGTTGGTTCACATTACCACCAAATGTAGCAACTTGTGCGCAGATATGTTTATGCGTGGGAGTACATGTGTGCGCGAGTGGATTCTAGCGTACTTAATAGAAGGAAACGAACAACAATAACGCCAAGAAAGTTGAACAGCGTGTAATATCGGTTCTATGTTATCATTTAGATTACCTAAGCAGTAAGAAAAATCGGATTAATTTTATGATCATGACTGATTAAACGAGATCTTGGTGAAGGACTGGTAGTAGAATTTTCCCACAATGATATGAGTAGAGCTAAAGTTTTCGTTGAATTTTATAAAGCCTTGCTGACCCAAAAGTTGTTTTACTCCGGGATGGACTGCAGTCTCAACCTCGCATAAGGCCCATCAATGCTCCCAGCGGGAGTCGAATGGTAATTTACTGTTAGTCTCGAAACTATACTTATATACGAAAATTAAGTAATGTAGTAGTTTGTTATAGTAAAAATACGTTTGCTTCATAGACAATCCCAACAAAGAATGTAATATGGGGAAAAGCCTGGCCTTCCTTTAAATTCATATCTGCCCTGTGAGCCAAGGGCACTCGTGGCAATGTAGCCGAGTGGTTAACGTGTCAAGCTCACTTTCTGCACTGTCACGGTTCGACTCCCGCTGGGAGTGTTGATAAGAACAATGCGAGGTCGAAAATGCAGTCCACCCTGGAGGATATCAACTTTGGGGAAACCAAATCTAC